ATAAGTCTGATCGAGCGCCAGGCTACTCGATCGTCTGTGCGGTCGGACCTTGGGCTGCCCGAGCGCCTGTGTGGTCGAGCCTTAGGCTGCTCGATCGCTTGTATTCCTGCCTTTGGGCTTGGTTTGCTCCCGGTCTGCTCTTTTCAACCGGCTCACCAGATCAGTTCGTCTTTAGACAGATAATATCCTATATCAGCCTTGTTTCTTGAAGTGATCCTTAGACTTTCAACAACAAATTTAAAATAAAAATGAAAAATACTTGGCAGGCCCTCAAACTGAATATTGTCCCTAGACCATGGAGTTTTATCTCGTCGCACTTGGATTATCCTTTGCCCCATAAAGTGCTCCAAATAATACATTTGTATGGCCAAGGGAGAACCATTCACAAATCAAATTGGAAATTATGTGTAGGTCTACCATATTATGATATACATTACCTGGATGTTGCAGAACTTAGAAAATATACGTATCATGAAATATAAAATACAATAAAAAAAAAAAAAATAATCAAAAAGGCTGCAGCAATAAATTAGTTCTTGTACTTGGGTTCTGTTACACTAGTGCGTGCCCGTGCGATGCACGGTAAAATAATATTACGATTGTATTATATATTAAATATACAAATAAATTAATCAAGATTTACCCATCGTTTTTAAATTAAACCGTGTTGGACACAGTCCGACCGGATGGATCGAGAACAGGTTTATAATTAGTCTAGTTCACTTGAATAAAATATTTGCTATTGAATATTCAACACCAGTCGGTTGAACTGGTTGGATCGATACAATTTTCTAAATAAATTTGGTTATATTTAAAATTATTTTAAGTAAAATTAGATATTTAAATAAAATAGAGATTTATAAATTGTTTATCAATTCATTTAAACATTTGAATTTTTAAATTGTTTAGATATTTAAGTAACACATTTCATTCAAATTTATTACATAAACTATTATATATATATATATATATATATATATATATATATATATATATTAAAAAGTATTTTTAAAGAAAAATAAATAAATTTCATGATTTTTATAAATTAAATTGTATGATTATATTAAAGCGTATATATAAATTAGATTGTATGTCTTTTAAAGAAAAAAATAAGAAAAATAATAAAACTACTATTTATGGGTAGCATTAAATGCTGACCTATTTTGTTCTACTAATTTTAGTAAATATGATGGCTCTTTATATAAGTATAGATTTGTTTACTAGTACAACACCCGTGTATTACACGAGTGCTTGCTAATTTTTTTCTTAAAAAATTTAAAATTAATGAAAAAAAGTAGTTTGAAAATTTAAATATATATATATATTATATATTTATTATGATACTTTTTATTTGTGCGACTTACTTGTGTTATATTATACTAATTTTTTAACTTACACTATATAACTACATTAAATATAAATATATCAATTGAGAAATAATTTTATTTTTCTAATAAATTTTAATAAATATTATTATTTTTTATTATTATAAAGATAAATATAATTTATTTATTTTATATATACAATATGGATGTCAAATCGAAGATCATCAAGAAATGATTAATTTGATATATTATATATGTAAAACCGATAAGAAATACAAAAGTTATATACTTTTAAAATACATTTATAATTCAATAGCTTATTGAAGGAAGCAAATCAAAATTTAGGGATATATTAGTCACTTAGTGCCTCACTATGTAAAATTACAAAGAATTAAAGGGTTATATTAGTAAAAGTGATATTAAAATACCTAAGTTAGCTAAATAATATTTATGGAATACTCGAACCTAAATTATTAATTATTAATATATTAATATTATTTGTCCAAACCTAATTACGAAGCATGATTTTTCGTCAAATAGGATTCCGAAGCACCAGAAGCAGCCACGTAGACTCAGCGCATTCAGTAATTATATATAAGGAGGATTAATTTATAAATAGCCTTTTTTTTTTATCAAGCCAATAATTTTGTTAGTTTATGTTATATGAATATGGTAAGATGAAACATTTTGAGGTTAATAATTATTTAATCCAATAATTATTTAATCCTTTATTTGCTTAGCTAGCCATTTATTTTTTTTTTAATTAAGTGTGATGGTGGCGAAGTTAGATGGTAAACACGAGGCAGCACACAAGAGACATGCGCATTGTAAATCATGGATTAACAATACCACAAGCCTACACACACTAATACTTGTTACTATATAGCTACCATTACTCGGTCAACTTTATATTATAGCAATAGTATACTCCACAATATCATTCATAACGATTCGATTCTGAAATAGATCACAATAAAAAAATTGTTATATTTCAACGAAAAATTCTATGGTAATATATTTCAATAAAAATTTCAACGGATATTCCATTGGTATATCTTCCGTTGAAATGATTCCAACATAAATTACAACGAAAATATTCTTTTGGAATATATTTTTCATTGGAATTTTGGATGGAATTTGATGATTCCAACATCTATATTTTCAACGATCAACGTTGAAAACCCTACTGTTGGAATCGTCAAAATCCAACGAAATTTCCAATGGAAAATTCAGTCTAACGGAATATTTTGTTGGAATTTCCGTTGGAATAATTCCAACCGAAAAAATAGCATTGAAATATCCATTGGAATATATTTTCGGCCGTTAGAATTTTATCATTTTCTTGTAGTGGATAATGTCTACCGCTCATCTGGTGTTAGGTGTTACATTACTCAATATTATCAGTAAAAATAAATAATATCAATCAATCATCTTACACATCATATTTACTTTAATTCACCATTTATCAATTCACATAATATTGATTAACTTTTATTTCACATCATCTATCTCTTATTTTTATATCAAATCAACTTTAATTAATATTTTATTTTAAATATTACTTTAATATAAACTCAAAATCCCACTAACAACTATTTGTACCACTTTTAATCAAATTAACACTGATTAACAAAAAAAAAAAAAACTTGTTTTAAGCGAATATATTTGCATCCAAACACGTCCTAACTATGCTATTAGACACATCTAATTATTAATTAAATATAATTATTTAATAAATATATACATACTTTCAAAATGAAATGTCCATCTCTATAAATCAACATAAATATTAAAAAAAGTATATGTATGCATTCTTATTATAAAAGTACCTCATCAGAAAATTGTGTTTCCTAAATAATTTTTGAAATTAGGAGCGGGCTAGCTAGCTTATTAATCAGATTCATATAATACCTCCTATTCTTTTTAAATATCATTTTGACATTATCAACTATTAACAAAATAAATGTCGTTTTGGATATTTTATACATATTTTTCCATTGTTACCCTCATCTAGCTAATAAATACACTACGTCTTTTCATATTCGCTCTTCATCTTTTCCCAAAACATTCATCTCTATCTTCATTAATGATGGTTATTATTGGCAAAAAAAATTATTTTAATAATTGTGTAACTTATTAAAACGACACTTATTATAAATAGGAGGAGTATAAACTATTTGTCTCTTTTTGTGTGTAAATTAATTCTCAGTCCCCACTAATCTAAGAATTTGACAATTTGGGAAAAGTCTCACTTTTCTTTTAAGGAAATGTTATGGTCCTGTTATAAAAAAAAATTCGTTGGAGTTTGTAATTGTTAGATCCACTGTCCCTGACGGTTACATAATGATCTAACGGTTACAGACCCCGACAGAATAGTTCTGTAACGGAATTGTAGCACCTCATATATATATATATATATATATTCTCAATTAATTATTTATTTTCCACCTCATCATCCTTTCCCTTTGAGCATATGCTTCTTGATGGCTCTTAAAGCCCCACTAGCATACAAATATTGTCACATGTCACATTATTTTCCCTATATATAAGCATCACATTCCCTTCATATTCTCCCACAAATTTTGTAACATTTAACAAATTCCTCATATCCAGCCTTCTTTATACTTCAACCCTTTGCAAAAGAAGAAATTAACAAAAAAA